GAGCAAGTATGAAACGCACCGCCTCTCTCGTAATCCTGGAGACGATGGCTTTTTGTCGGTACCACCTGTCGCTCGGACAACCGCCCTCGATCCTTTATTCCGATCATCGGCCCCGATCCGCTGTCATATTTCTTGCCGAGTACGATGCGCGACGAGGCAATTTAGAGGAAGGCCGCGAATCGAAAGCGAGACTACCAGCGGAACGGGCCCACGTTCTTAGCGTTAAACTCCCTATAACATTTTCTTTCGAACGAGACGAATTAGAACGTGATTAGACACGATCGACGTTTAATACCTTCACATAACGTTATATTCTTCGTTTAATAAAACGAATAAAATGAAATAATTATTATACGAATTAAAATGGATAATATATCTTATAAGATTATCGATTATATTAGAATAATTTTATAATCGATTCCAATATTGTTTATTTAAATTGAACACAAATCCGATCTTCGACATGTGAAAAATTTATCCTAAAGAAATAATACTATTGTCAAATATATTCAATTATAAAGGGATAAATCGAAGAGATACGTATGTAAGTAATTATATATTTACGTATGTATATATTTACCAATGATCATTGCAAACAAACGAGTCTAAATGAATCGAGTAAAATACTATTATTATACGGGTCAATGGACTATCATTGTTGAAGACAGCAAAACACATAATATATACCACAATGTTACGTAGGACGCAAACGCTCGAATCGTTTCTGTTTTTATACAATCGGAATCGGCGATATGTGCTTACATACAAACGTCCTTTATTCGAGACAACGACTCTATCGAATACCATTTATAAAAAGTGTAACTACAAATACGGAAAGATAGGAAGAAGAAGGAAAAAAAGAGAGAGAGAGAGAGAGAGAGAGAGAGAGAAAGAAAGTGAATAATAGAAACAAATTCTCTTTCAAGTTGGCAGAGAGGGGATAAAGAAATCATTGATTCCAAGCGGGTGTGGCAACATATAATTACAGTAATTAGCGGACAAGTAATTAATTAGGATCGCACGTCGTTCGTTATTTCTGTAGCCGGAGGACAGCTACCTACCTACCTACCAACGTTTACCTGTGGGATACGTGTAACTACCGTAGCATGTCCCTATACGTCCTCGTACTGTGCTCAAGGGGTTACGTCTTGATCCCAATTAACGACGGATTTTTTGCCTTGCACGGAAGATGCGCGACCAGAGAAAGAGAGAGACAGAGAGAGAGAGAGAGAGAGAGAGAGAGAGAGAGACAAGACGGCGCTGCAAATTGTGCGACCGTTTCTCGATCGATCGATGGATCGATTGAGAATCTTTCGATCTCGCGAGATGGTGAACGTTGTTATTGGGTGGTACTGATGAATCGATATTTGTTCTCCTGTTTCCTTAAAAGATCGTTAGGCCCTTACGACCTCCGAGATGGTACCTACTTCGTTCTCCCTTTTCGAGATTTATCTTACCATTTTCGTGTATATCTCTTTTTACGGTTCTCCTGGAATTCGCTGATACTCGAACGTCATTATGGTATACCTGATTATTATTCGATTGATGGATATCACGGTTTACTAAAAAAAAAAGCATACATGACTTGTAATACATATATATATATATATATATATATATATATATATATATATATATATTTAATCAAACGGAACAAATTAATGATGCACTCGCGAGAGAAAATTAATTTGCTTAACCGTACGAATTTAATTAAACGATTAGGTACGGACGATCGGCGACTTGCGAGAAACAGGAGAGACTTGCAGTAACTCGCATCTATTTTCCTACCTAGGAAATGCACTCGCCTATGCAATACTATACACACGCATACAAACACGTCGATGCTTATATATATATATATATATATATATATATATATATATATATATATATCTAGCTCGACGAATTGGATTACTCACCGAATTGACTCTTAGTGCACTACGGAAGATTGGTCGTGTTACGCGTTTGCCAAACATTTCGGCAATTCCTTCCAGCCCTCTTCTCCGACCCTCCCCCGTTCACCCACTCTTCTCGCCCCTCGATGTTTCGCTTAGAGAACACGCAAACGGCGTTGCGTAGGATTCGTCGGCAATAAACATAATAGCGTGCGCGTCGTTAATTAAGTGGATTTTCAATCAAGATTCAATCAGGCTCGTTGTTAAATGTAAATGCACGTGGAGTCGATATACTCTATATGTATATATATATATATATATATCTCTCTCTTACACATGCGTGTAAACGCAATGCGTGTCTCATTGGTGATCTCTCTCGCACTTCTCATCAAGAATGTTGCATTCGATCTAAAGAGCGAGAGAGAGAGAGAGAGAGAGATGCAACCATGAATTTCCTGTTCGAAATACGTAAAGTTTAATTATCCCATATCGTTCTACGTCCATTTAAATCTAAGTGACAACGTTTCAACTTTTTGCGAATAAAGGATTTACTTAGGCAAACTAGATAAATTATAATTACGAATCGTTTAAGGGACGATCATCGTACGATCGTTCTCGTTTGTATAAAATCCCATTGCAAATGCATGATCCCAAATGAAGATGAAGATATTCAGTAAAGGTAAGAGGAACTCCTTTTCTTTCGTCTTTTCCCTTTTTGCTATTGCGATCGATCGATTCGTGTCTTCTCGTTAATCAACCGCGAATTTCGAAGAAAAAAACAAAGGAAAAGCAAAATATTTTTCCTCTAATAATAATGTTTAATAACGCAAAGGGATTAAATAGGAATGACGAAGAGAAAAGAGAGGGAGGAAAAGAAAGAAACACAAAAAACAACAAAAAAAAGAGAAAAAAAAATAAAAAGAAAAAAAAAGAGAAAAAAGAAAGAAACAAAATTAATACAACACAATGAGATTCGCTTATAAAAGACTTTGATAAAGATCCAATTGAAATAAATAAATATAATTTTCCTTTTGTTAAACTAATTTAAAGTCCGCTTTCAACTGAAGAGATTTCTTTGGAGTTACAAAGAGCAACAAAGATGCATTACGAATGGTTAGGAAACAATGTATACGTACAAATAGATATTGCAAAGGACTTATACTGGCAGACGGCCACACCTTCGCGCCTTATTGCGGCCGACTCGTAACGACGACATCAAATTGTACGTGCCCGGAATGATAAATGAAGCTCGGTTACTTCGAAAATGTTCGAAATCGCGTTAAAACCTTACCTTCCCTCTCTACTTTTCTCTCTCCTCTTTTAACCCCCATTCCCTCTTTCTTCTTCTCTTGTTTCCTATCTATATTCGGTCCTCTCTCTCTCTATCTCTCTCTCTCTCTCTCTCTCTCTCTCTTCGTCCCTCCTCACGACACGGATGCATTACGTTACATTCCTACAAGATTATTTATGTAACGGGCAACATCTTGCAAAAGGACGAACGCATAAAACATTTTCCATTGGTCTAGCACGCGCGGAATTATTTATATTTACGTCGCGTATCGGATACGACGTGTTTACGGCGAACAAATGCACGCGCGTGGATTTTCTGTTCAACTCCCGCGAACGCCAAGGGGATATATAGAAAATTACTTACGCAGTTACTTTACTTACTTCACGGTGAAATCTTGAAAATTTATCGTACCTACGCGTACGATAAATGAAACGAAACGAAACGAAACGAAATGAAATTAAATGAAACGAAACGAAACGAAACGAAACGAAACGAAACTAAATGAAATGAAATGAAACGAGCGTGTACAAAGATTTTTAAATACGTCAACATACATTAATTGTAATAGATCATGTACGTCTATTCATCCGATAGATTCGGCGCGTGTACGTATATTTCAAGTTACGTGAAATAATGCAAAATATCTTCGATAAAAAATTATTTCAAAAGAATATTATCGCATGTTATTATCGATAACTTCGATATCTTCCTTCTTCAACTATTTTCGAATCCAAAGAGAGTGTATCTCTTTTCTTTTTTTATTATTTTACTTTACCCTTCGTTTTTCTTTTTTTTTTGTTTTTCTTTTTTTTTTTCGTTATCACGAGCAAAGACAGCACACAGGTATAATAGTTATTGTTTTAACGCGAATTTTTATTTTACGAGACTACTACTAGCATGCATTCGTGTTGTACGTAAATCTCCTAGCTAGTAGGAACAATGGATAGAAAGAGAGAAGGAGAGAGAGAGAGAGAGGATGAGTGAGAGAGGGAAAGGGAGGGGAGGGCTGAGGATAAAGTCGAATCGAATCTCTTTGTCTCGTTCCATTCTTCTTTTATTTCCTTTTTTTTTTTCCTTTTATTTATTTTACTTGCTTCACGCTTTTCTACTTCCTTCTCATTCTCTATCTCTCTATCTCTCTCTCTCTCTCTCTCTCTCTCTCACGTTTTCTATCTTTTTTCAGCCCTTCGTTCGGATGAAATTTTCCACAACATTGGATTCGAATGCGATTAAAGCGCGTATAGCGAGCTGATAGCTCGTAGAATAAAAAACGAGAACCGCCCGCGGATAGCTTCGTTTCTCTTCCATCTCCTCCTCCTCCTCCTCTTTCTCCACCTTCTTCTTTCTCCTCTTTTCTACAGCGTCGATCTCTCGAAATCGAATTGTAAGTTGTAGCCAATGCCTGGCACCCTCCGCGTTGTTAGAAGGACGCGTGATTCATCGGCAAGTAACGCGGAACGCCCGAGCTAATTCCCTCCAGATATCGATTCGTCTGCTTTGAATTCGAAAACTCTCTTCGCCGCATTTCTCTATCTCTCTATTTTCTCTATCTCCCTTTCTCTTTCTCTCTCTCTCTCTCTCTCTCTCTCTCTCTCTCTCTCTCTTTGACTGACACACACACACACTCACACACAGGCGCGCAGCATGAATACTCACCTCTCACTCTACCCTCTTTACCATTAAATCCCATTTTTATCAACCATTCTCTCATTTTCTCGCTTTTCGCCATCTCTACATTCTCTCACCAAAGAGAATAATCAAATTTTATTCCTACGACTTATACATCAGAGGATTGAGCATTCTATTCTTCTTCT